GGGGGGATGCTTTCCAAAAATCATCACTTTAGATTTTGTGTAATTTATTTTATTTGCTCTTGGTGGCTAAACTCTTGGAGTTTATTTAGGCTTCGTTTCAGTCCCTTTTTGTTCATGGATAATAGAACAATGTCATCAACATATATGAGACTTGCAATCTTATAGTTCCCAATTGAGGGGGGGGGGGGAAATGGTCTGGATGGTTTAAAGCTGTTACAATATTATTAATATAAAAGTTAAAAAGTAGGGGTGCGAGTAAGCATCCTTGTTTTACCCCTTTGTTAGTGTGAATTTCCTCTGTCAGCCTTCCATCTGTGCTAATCCTTACCCTCAATGTTGTGTTGGAGTACAGTTCTTGTATTAGAGTTAGGAGTCTCTTATCAGTGTTGGACTTTGTGAGCTTATCCTACAGGTGGTTTCTAGTGATTGTGTCAAATGCAGAGGAGAAGTCAATAAAAGCCATGAACAGCCATTTGAATGGCCTGGTGGTATATTTGCACACAAGATGATGTAGCACATAGATTTGATCTACTGTGCTATGGCTCTTCCTAAAACCTGCTTGTTCCTGGTGAAGGATATTATTTTCCTCCATCCATTTAGTAAGCTTCTGGGAAAGAAGGCGGGTATAAAGCTTGGAGCTAATATCCAGTAAGCTGATTGGGCCATAGTTCTGGAGGATGGATTTATCGCCTTTTTTGTAAATTGGGAAAATTATGCTCTGCCTCCACCCATCGGGAAAAATTCCTGTAGCATTAATGTGAGAGAAGAGTTGTGCTAGGACAGGGGTCTACCATGCCAGGTTGTTCTTGTACACCTCTGGCGGGATCATGTCCTCACCAGGTGCTTTATCTGTTGCTAGGGCATCGATAAGTTTATACACTTCCTGTTCTGAAACGGGGGGGCATTCGGGTGTAGAGTTTAGTTGAATCTGGGGGTTTCTCACTTTTTGTGGCCCAGTGTCTGCATCCCTATTGAAAATAGTTTGAAAGTAGTGGCACCAGGCATTTGCCGTGATGCAGGCATTTGGTGCAGGATTGGGACCTATATCCATAGCTGAAACCATACTCCAGAATTTTCACTGATGTAGTGCAATGTATTAAGTTATCATATATCTGGTATGTCTTGTCTCTTGTACTGGACAGGATACAACCCCCAGCTATATATACTTTCCTGCAAGATGGAGAAAATAATGTTCATCTGCCTTACAGGGTTATTGTCTGTGTTGCTGAATTACGGAATATTGTATAATATTTAAATGATAAAATAATAAAAAGATAATAATAAAATGGTGAAGTTATTGAAACAGCAACTGGAATGAAATGGACATTTCCTTTCTCTGTCAGCAAACTGGAATCAAATGTCTGTCAGAAAAGAATTTTTATTTTTATAAATAAGCAATTATAGATATTTTCTAAATGTCCTTGAATTATAATTTCAGTAGTGCATTTATTTCTCATATAAAGATATGAGAATTTATCATTGTTTTGTTGTAGGCACAAGACCCTCAGGTGCTGGAGCAGCTGTCCAAAAACATCACTCGCATGGGTCTGACCAACTTCACTCTCAACTACCTCAGGGTAAGCTTGCTGTGAGGTGTTGTTTTTTTTTTTTGAAAAGGTTACTGTCACAGCCTTCACAAATTCTTCTTCATCCTGAAGTCTCTGAGTTTTTGTCATAGGCAACATGCTTGTTTGTTTAATAAACCACGTTTTCTGATAGCTCTCTGAATTCTCAGGCCAATTCTAGAAAAGGGTAACCAACCTCATTAGTTCTTATTTTTCTTTGAGTAAAATATTTGGCTAACAGACATGTATTTCAGGGTAGTAATTATGAAGAGTAGAGAGACCAGCATTGAAAAATGTGGCTGATTATATCAAATTAATATTCAACAAATACACTTATTAATATTAAGGGTGATAGTGAGTGTAAAGGTAGCAGGCCACTCTGACGTCACTGCCAACTCAGGCCTCTCAGAGTGCCCACCACACCACTTCACACTCACTGCCACCAATTATAATGACTATATAAGAAGGACAAAGGTTTCCTTCAAAACGAAACAGGTTTATGGTACACGAAATAAAATATGTAAATCACAGGAACCTAATCAAGGTGTAAATCACTGTTTCTTATTTGATCAATCACAGACTTTCCCTCACTGACTACTTAGGCACACAGGCCTCTAAAAAAAGCTCTTTCTCTCTCACACACCAGATCTAAATCTTTCTCTCCCTTCAAACCCCTTTTTCTTCCAGCTCCTCCCCCTTCAGCACCACCCTCCGTCACCCCATTGGCTGATGATCCACTGTCCAACTGTGACGGACAGGTGAGGTCAGGGCTGCCTGTTACATTACCTCCCCACTTAATAAGTTGTTTCATGGGGAAAAGCTAAAGTGCTTTTCTCTCATTAGATCAGAGCAAGACAACTATACATCATATCAATAAACAACGATATATTTATCAAACACTTGCATAACATTTAAATAAACCTCTTACCTGCATTATATTGTACACTTGCATACTTTACCATATCCACAGTTCCTTAATGCATATTCTTAACAATTAGATACAACATTCAAAAATTTGCTCACATAACCAATAGCAATTTTACATGGTACCAGTACATTCAACTTTTATTACATATATCATATTAAAAGTCCAATTTTTTCTTCTCTCCTTTAATCTTTGGGTCTTCTAGAAAGGGCATCTGCAGCACAGTTCTGAGTCCCTTTGACTAGTTGAACCTCAAAGTCAAAGTCCTGCAGAATCAAAGCCCAACTCATCAGTTTACTGTTGTTGGCTTTGATAGTCCTTAGCCACAATAATGGGGAATGGTCAGTACACAGTACAAAATGTCCTCCCCACACATAAGGTCCAAGCTTGCGAAGAGAATGAAGGAGTGCAAGACACTCTTCCTCACCACTCGAAAGCTGATCTTCGCCCGCCTGTAGATTCCCGCATAGGTACGCCACAGGATGATGTCCTCTGTCGTTGTCCTTCTGGCTCGGCAAGGCTCTTAACTCTCTGTTGGATGCCTCGGTAACGATGGTGAACTCACACCAGCAATCTGGATCTCCCATGACCAGATTGGTCATCACTGTCCCCGACAGCTCCGTGAACGCCTCCTCGCAGCTGCTGGTACACTGGATACGATCTGCACTCTTCTTGAGTGTTAGGTCAGCAACACTACAAGGAGTAACAGCTGGTGGGGTGCATCTCCAGTTTCACTTTGGTGCACCACTCCCTGGATTAACCCTGGCTTGCTGACAGAAACCTGCCGGAATCTCCCTAGCAAGGCCCTCAATTCATTTTGTGGCTCAGGGAAAAGTCCATGACTAACTCTAACATTTTCAGGGTTATCTTTTCCTTTCCCTCTACCTTCCCAATAGGGTAAGTCAGGTTTCCCTTTGTCTGCTTCCTTCATGGCAACCCGAGCCTGGTTCTCTTCTCTATAGTAGGGCTTGATCATATCTATATGGACCACCCTCCTGCCTGGTTCTCCATCCTCCTTAATGATCCAATCGATTTAATTCATTTTAGTGACTATAGAGAATGGTCCTGCCCAATCCAGTTGCAATTTACTCCCCTTGAGAGGTCCTAGCACAAGCACCTTATCTCCAGGAGCAAAACCTCTTTCTCCGGCTTTCCTGTCACATCAGAGCCCTTGGTTCACTTGCTGCCTCTGCCCACCTGCAGCATCCAACTTCAAGCTTCCCCTTAGTGTGTTCGTTATGTTGACTAAATACGAAATCACACCGTCAGGATTAGATCCCTGTATGTTCTCCCACCCCTGCTCGAGTAAGTCCAGGGGTTTCCTGACTTTTCTCCCAAACCATAGCTCCAAAGGACTGACCCCATTACTTTCTTGGGGCACAGACCCACAAGCATACAGTAGAAGTTGCACCCTCTGATCCCAGTTGTAGGGACTCTCCACCGAGCATGCCCTAATCATACGCATGAGGGTTCCCTCGAGTCTCCCTGCCATGCTGTCAACTTGCAGGTGATAGGGGTTGGAAGTGTCCCGTCCGATCCCACAAAGTTTCCACAATCTTTGCACGAGCTTAGAGGTAACCGATGGTCCCAAGTCAGCAGCCATCTCATACGCAAACCCCATACAGCTCATACAGCCCAGCAAGGCATCAACAACATTAAGAGTCTCACTATTCCTCAGAGGAATAGCCTCTGGGTATCATGTGGCATTATCAACAATGGTCAGAATAATTCTACTCCCCATTTGGGTGACTCTAAGCAATGGTCCTATAATATCCACGCCAATACGTTGGAATGGGATAGAAATCACTGGTAAAGGGCATTGCTTCATTTTAGCCTTGTCTTTGTTATGACCCTGTCTTTGACCAACATCTTCCCCCCCTTTCTTGAGGTTCCTTAGAGACTCTCGGTACAATATGCCCTGTTCAAGGTGGAACCTCTCAGGTCTTTCAGGGGTTCATTTTGCCTCAGAAACGTTCTGAAGGCATTGTTTTAGTGTGGAATCAGATTTCTGTTCTTGACTGAACGTATTGCTATTAAGTAGAAATATTTCAGCTGAGTTAATACTGTAAGGTATTCCCATTCTCTGTTTTTCACTCCCTTCCTCAGCTGCCTCTGCTTTATTTTGTTGGGAACGTGTCACAACTAAAACCTTCTTCACATGTTCAGAGAGGTCATTGCCTATTAAAACCTCAGATGGCAACTGTGAGGAAATTCCTACTTGCCAATGTCCCTGCCATCCCTGATATTGAATGGGTAATTCAGCCACAGGCAAAATAACAGTTTCTTGACCGATTCCCTTCACAGCCATGTGGTCCTCTTTTAAAATATATTTCTGTCGTACTATATCTGGGTGACATAGAGTTACTTGTGAACAAGAGTCTTTCAGAGCCATGTATTTATTATCTAAAACACAGATATTGTCCCCAGCAGTTTTAAATAATTCTTGATCCGTTTTAATTAAAAAGCAATGCCTAATCTCTGCCAAAAGAAGATTAGATTCAATATTATCAGTTGGTGTAGAGAGCTCGGCTGGTGTTGCCATGGCAACTGACTCCTCCCTTGGTGGATCAACTTTTCCTTGCTGGACACAATAAACAGCTTTAGGTTTACTTAAATTTACTTTTTGAGGTACAAATTCTCTGTTTTTACCACACTGGGACGCAATATGGCCTTTTTCATTACATTTTTAAAAAGTCCTAACATTCCATTGTTCATTCCCAGCATCTTTTCCTCCTTTTCCCTCCAAATTTTGCCCTCTGGCTTGGCTCTGTTCTGAGGATTTTCCCACAAAATGGCAGCCAACCTTCTGTTGGTTTTTAAATTGTAGTCTGGGATATTTATTAGAGTCCTCCCAAGTTTTCCTCACACCTTTTCCCTCAGAAAAGCTGTTTTTTCGTATCGGGGAAATGAAATCAGCAGTCTCCCCTGCTTCTTTCAAATTCTGGGGTTTCTTGTCCTTGACCAAATATTTTAGTTCACCATGTAAGAGAGAATAAAACTGCTCCAACCCCACAACATTTTTCAAGATCCTGAACTGTCTGAACTCCCTCCTCTAACAGCCATTTGTCTAAATATCTGGACAAGTTTGCCCCTAATTGTGAGTAAGGCTCATCAGGTTTCTTAGAGACCTGAATTTTTATCTCAAATGTTCTGAGTTTATGCCATACCTGGCAAACACTAACTTTTTGAATTCAGTGTAATCTTTAATTAATTCGATAGCATCTCCACATAGATCTCAGCCAGGCCTCCACTAATTTGGGATCTTAATATAATAATCTTTTCACATTCCTTCACTTGAAAATCCTCACACGCTCTTTCATACATCACAAGGAATGCTTCTGGATCATCTCCCTTCCTAAAAATTGGGAATTTCTTTAGGTCTGCCTTAGATAACTGACTCCCCTCAGAGTTGGCTCCCCCATTGTTATTATTGTTTTGATTTGCCATTTCTAGTCTTCTGAGTTCGAAAGCCATACGTTCTTTCTGTAGTTCTGCATTATGTTTCATTCTTTCTTTCTCCATTTCTTTTTCTATGGCCAATTTTTCTTTCTCTAGTTGTAAGGCCATTTGTCTTTCCTCAGCTTTGGCCCTCATCTCTAGTTCCATCTGAAATTTCCACTTTTTGAATTCTATTGGGGTTGTTACAGTGAGATAATCACAATAGCCAGTTGAGGATGAAGAGCAATTCGTGTGCGTATAACCAGTGAAGAATTTCACCTTTATAAGCTGCGGTGGAGGCAAGCAATGCTTGAATGTGCTTGGCTGGTTGGCCAGTGACTCTCACTGTTGTCAGCATCCAGCACTGGCAGCAGCAAGTCAGTCACCACCCATGCCTCTTCCCTCTACAAATGAATGGATATGTTGTCTACAGCTAACTGTTGATATTGTTATTTGTTTATTTTTATGCAGCTGTTAAAGTTGTGCTATTGCTTGCAATGATAAGCTGTCCCTCTTCTTATCCTTGCTACTCAGATTCTTTCCATACCTAATTAATCAAATTGCTTTTCTAATTAATTTCAGTAAGCAAACAATCATTCAAATTTTTTAATAATTCTGTTTGGCCAAAATTAGGTATAAAATTTACAAA